TAAAGCAGAATAAGGAATGGGCAGTGGACAAGATACGTAAGATAGTACTAAATTACCAGGTGCCATGTATCCATAAGAACCAGCAACTGTGGTCCAATTGGATGAATCCGAAATCAGTAGCTTTGCAGTGCCAAAATCTGAGAGCCGTGGCTCAAATTCTGACTCAAGTAGAATATTGTTTACTGATACATCCCGGTGGACAATAGGCGGAGAGCAGTCGTGATGCAAGTAAGCCAGTGCTTGAGCCACTCCTCGGACAATTTTCAGCCTCATAGCCCAGCCTAGTTCGAATGCCTCCATATCATCATGCAAAACTTTCCCCAAGCTACCCCTTTCTATATACTCGTAGACCAAGTACATGAACCCTCTCCTGGAACAAAATCCATAGAACTTGATAATGTTCCGATGCCGTATTTCTGTCAATGTTTGAATCTCATTCTCAAAACTACGACGATTGGCCATCTGTACATCACTTGAGTCTGACCTGCTGAGCTCTTTAACTGCTACAATCTGCCCAGTTGTCAAAACTGCTCGATAAACACTTCCAAATCCTCCACTTCCAATGCAGTATTTATCACTAAAATTTTCAGTTGCTTTATCAATATCTCCAATTGTAAATTTCCTTCTCTTTCCCAAATGAGAGATTCCAAATCCTCAAATTCTGGCGCAGTTTTGGTTTCGTCATAATTGCGCTTGGTTTTCGACCGAAAGATGAGACATCCAACAATAGTGATTGCCAAAATTATGAGGCTGACAACAGGAACAATTACAGCCATAAGGATTTTTAGATCATTATTCTGTGACTTGGAAGTCGAAGAGACGACCACATCACAAGGAGATAACCCGTCTGCATTTCCACATAGACCAGAGTTCTCTATAAAAGCTTCTCCTGGTGCTTTCCTGAATGAATCACTAGTCGGGATTGGACCCGACAAGTAATTGAAGGAGAAATCCATGATTGTCAGACTGACCATAGAAGATAATTCTGAAGGGATTGTACCTGAAATCTTGTTATGTGACAGGTTAAGATTCTCCAAAGAGGTAAGCTTTCCCAAATTTGGGGGAATTGTTCCTGAAAGTGAATTATTACTAAGGTCCAACAAGTATCGTAACCCGTTTAAGTAGCCAAGTTCTGACGGGATATTCCCTGATAAAATGTTGTTGCTAAAGTTCAAGAACTGCAAGTTCTCACAATTGCCAAGATCTTCTGGGATGTCTCCTTCTATTTTGTTTGCCGACAAATCAAGATATTGGAGCTCTGTTAAGCGTCCAATAGTTTGAGGAATCTCTCCAGTCAACTGATTGTTGCTCAGATTGAGATTGAGCAGTTCAGTTAAATTTCCCAATCCAGCAGGAATTTCACCTATCAATTCATTAGAATCCAGAGTTAGGACTCGCAACTCTGTCAAATTGCCTAGCTCAGCTGGAATCACTCCAGAAATTTTATTTCGATCCATCTGAAGATTTGTAAGCCTTTCATATTGTCCCCACCTAGTTGAAAGTTGGCCTGTAAATTGATTTCTGCTGAGAGAGATGAACTCGAGATTTGGATGAACTCCAAATGCCTCAGAAATATTCCCATAAAATCGGTTGCCTTCAAGCCGTACTCTATTGAGGCTCGAGCAATTCTTCAGGCAACCTGGTAACCTTCCAGTAAAACTGTTGTTATTCACTGTAAATTGAGTAAGAAGAAAGCCACTGCATAATCCAGAAGGCAGTTCACCTAAGAAGGTATTATTTGAAAATCTAACATTGGCCAATTTGGGACTATTCTTTCCCAAGTCCCGGGGAATGATGCCTGAAAATGAATTAGAGTGCAAAGAGAGAGTTTGCAGGGCACCGAGGTTCGAGATGGACTCTGGCAACTGCCCACTTAATTGGTTCGTGCTTACATCAAGCATCTCTGTTAGGTCTCCAATCGTAGGTGGAACAGTTCCAGTAAGTCTGTTGGAGTAAAGGTTTAGGATCAGTAAATTTGTTAGGTTTTTGATTGTTGGAGGTATTAGGCCTGAAAGCCGGTTCCCTGAAAGGTCCATCATCATCAAAATTTTCAGGTTTCCAATCTCGGGAGGGATGGAGCCTGAAAATGTATTGTTGCGTAGAAAAAGATAATTGAGATCTGTCAGTAAACCTATTTCAGATGGAATTTCCCCGGTGAAATGATTATTTTGAAGCTGCAATGATGT